GCCAGACAAGGACACCATAAAAAAACTATAGGCCAATATTTCTGATAAACAGAGATGTAAGAATCCTAAACAAAATACTAACAAACTGAGACTGGCATTCTTCCAGACTCGGGAGTGCTCACCCAGCTGCCACCATCCTCTCAACAAATTAGGTATAGAATGGATGTAGCTCTAACATAATAAAGGCCAGATATAAAAAGACCACAGCTGTCATCATGAAAAACCATGAAAAATAGAAAGCTTTTAACCTAAGATCTGCAATAAGACAAGGTTGCCCACTCTTAGCACTACATTCAGTATACTACTAGAAGTTCTAGCAAGAGCAATTAGGAAAAAAACAAAAAAATAAAAATAAAAAGCATACAAGCCAGAAAGGCAGAAGTAAAATCTCTGTTCACAGATGAATGATCTTATATGTAGAAAACTTATTAGAATTAATAAATAAATTCATTCAAGTTGCAGGGTACAAAATCAACATACAAAACCAGTTGTGCTACTATATACTAAGAAGAAACAATATGAAAAAGAAATTAAGAAAACAATCCCACTTACAATCTCACATAAAAATGGATAATATACTTAGGAGTTAACTATAAACTTGTACACTGAAAACTACAAAACAGTGATAAGAGAAGTTGAGGAAAATACAAACAAATGGAAAGATATTCCATGTTCATTGATTGGAAGAATTAATATTCCTAAAATGCCCTTAGTACCCAAGTGATATACACAATCCCTATAAAAGTCCCAATATCATTTTTCACAGATAAAAAAATCTTAACATTTATATGAAAAATAAAAACACCCCAAATAGCCAAAATTTGAAAAAGAACAAAGCTGGAAATACCACATTTTTTTTTTGTTTTCAAAATATTACAAAGCAATGGGAATGAAAATATTATAGTACTAGCATAAAAAATAGACATATAGACCAATGATACAGAATAGAAATCCCAGATATAAACTCAGCCATGTATAGTCAACTGATCTGTGACAAAGATGCCAAAAGTACACAATGGGGAAAGGAAATGGTGTTCAACAAATGGTGCTGGGAAAACTGGATATCCAAATGCAAAAGTATGAATCTGAACACTTATCTTAACCCCTACACAAATACCAGCTACAATGGATAAAAGATTTAAATATAAGGTCTGAAACTATAAAAATCCTAGAAGAAAACAGGGGAAAATCTAATGACATTGGTCTTGGCAATGATTTCTTAGATATGACAGCAAAAGCACAAGCAACAAAAGAAAAAATAGACAAGTGGAACTACATCAAACTAACAAGCTTCTGCACAATAAAGGGAACAATAAACAGAGTGAAAAGGCAACCCCTAAAATGGGAGAAAATATTTGCAAACCATATATCTGATAAGAGGTTAATATCCAAAATATATATGGAAGTCCTACAACTCAATAGCAACAAACACACACAAATGCACAAACAAACGAAAAACAAAACAAAAAAACAAACATTTGCATTTAATCTATCTCTTTCTCTATTTCAAATGATTTGGGCAGGTTCTTTTGAATTGTCCTGTAAATTATGATAATTCTGTGAAATGCTGTTTCCTTATTAGAAGGAATTTCAGAATGATAATGATAGCTTTCACCTGCCCAGAAGCTGAGAGCCTGTGTGCATTATCAGTGTGCTGTAATGAATAAAAGACTGTTCATCTGTTTGGTGTGTATAAAGTGCTAGGAATTTAAATTTATTTTTAGATATAGAAAAAACGTAAAAAATTGAAATAAAGAAAAAAGTAAAAGAAACCAATGATTTAGAAAGTAATTATTGTTTTGAGTACCTTAGTCCCATTTATTTTCTTCCTTGTATAACTCAGTTTTTCTATTTGTCTTCCAATTTTTAACTTAGAAGCCACTTTAATGAATTGGATATTCTACCAGGTCACCCAAACACTACTCCATCAAAGGCCTTGTTGTAGCACTTAGAACATCCTTTGTAATGGTCTATTTCCCCAGTGGAATGTCACTGCTGTGGTCTGAATGTGTGACATGAAAATGGATATGTTGAAATCCTAATCCCCCAGGTGATAGTATCAGGAGGTGGAGCCCTTGGGAGGCTATTAGGTCACAAGGTTGGAGCCCTCATGAATAGGAGTAGTGCCCTTATATAAGAGGCCCCAGAGAACTTTCTTGATGCTTCCACCATGTGAGGACACCATAAGAAGATGCTGCCTCTGAACCAGGAGGTAGGCCCTCACCAGCCATCACACCAACTCTGCTGGCACTGTGATCTTACACTTCCCAACCTCGAGACCTGTGCAAAATAAATTTCTGTTGTTTATAAGCCTCCGTGTCGTGGTATTTTGTTATAGCAGCCTGAACGGACTAAGGCAATTGCCTTGAAACATGGACAAAATTATAGTGACTATCTCCCCAAGAATTGGCTCAGTGTTTGCTATAGAGTACTAGGTGTACCGGTTAATAATGGCGGATTTTGTAATCAAAGAAAACACAATAATTTCAAGAGATACATCAAAAGTGCTTTATTCAAAGTAATATCCATCACTAGCTACACATTTCCCCCCACAACATGAGGAACTGTATTAAAGGGTCGCGGCATTAGGAAGGTTGAGAGCCACTGATCTATGCGAACAGATCTCAGCTTACCTCTGAATGTGTATTTTCAAAGCCTGTAGGCTCACTACACTGATTGCATTTCAAATGATATTTAAAACGGAGGTAAATATTTTCAAGAGGAAACCTCTCGGGCCTGAGATGGATATGTGGAACTCTAACGCCACCAGGTAGATAAGTCTGTGGTTTGGGGACATTAACGGGGCAAGACTGAGTAACTGCTGACAATTAGTCAGAAGATGGAGCAGAGGTCTTAGGAAAATGACTCCCAAGTGACAAAATATTGAAAATTCAATTAGACTCTGTTTATTATAGGCTTACGCCAGCAACTATATTCCTAATAAAGACCTGGATAATAAACAAATTAATGGGAACACAGGGGAGTGCTTTTAGAAAAAACTTTTCTCCTTATAGTATCCTACAATATTGATTTCTAAAGTGCTCCAAATGATGTGTGAAGCTTGCTGAAGAAATTTTAACATAAATTATGTGTATAAGAAGATATAGATGAAAGCACTCAAGATTATGAAAATAATTTCAACATATAATGACAATGTGCAATACATTTAATGTTGGAAATGTCAAGTTATGCGAGTCTACAAATCCTTTAGGAAAGAAAACCTAGGGAACGCCAATTGGAAGAAGCCATTATGAGGGATGCATACATGGCCTGGATTCTAATTAAAGCAGTACGTCACAGCCTCCATGCGTTCTTCCTCCTTTTTACAAATGTGCTTTAAAAATAATCCACGCTCTAGCCGGTTCGGCTCAGTGGATAGAGCATCGGCCTACGGACTGAAGGGTCCCTGGTTCGTTTCTGGTCAAGGGCATGTACCTTGGTTGCAGGCACATCCCCAGTGGGGGGTGTGCAGGAGGCAGCTGATCAATGTTTCTCTCTCATCGATGTTTCTAACTCTCTATCCCTCTCCCTTCCTCTCTGTAAAAAAAATCAATAAAATATATTTTTAAAAAAAGGTCATCACTTTTAAAGTGTTTAAATCAGCGTTCACAAGTATCTTGAGCTGGAGCATGTTCACCATAAGCTTCCTGAAGTATTCAGCAGCACTTTTCTTCAAAATAAAGTAATGAATTATAACTTCCCACAAATGCTCTTTTTTTGGCACGAAATTTGACATTTTTAAGTGTAAAAATATCTATGATGTTAACACCTTCAGCAAATTTGACATATGAAGTTTTGAAGCTTGTTGTCAATACAACAAAATAACATACATATCAAATTACATATATATCAACATATGTGTAACTCCATCTATTGAAAAAAAATCTGTCTTATTAAGCGGTACACCTACTAAGTGCTTACATGGTAATGCTTTGTGATTAGCTGAAATGGCAGTTATATTGTTGAGACTGAAATAACATTATAGTCAAGAGTAAAGGTCTGATTTCCCTTATATGGGATTTTGCAGAGCTGAACAAGAAATTATTATTACAATTGTTACTGTTATGTTATTTTCATTTTTCAATTACAGTTGATATTCAATATTATTCTATATTTGTTTCAAGTGCATAACATAGTGATTAGACATTTATATAATTTAAAAGTGGTCCCCCTAATAAGTCTAGTACTCCCTGACATTGTGATACATACTTGTTACTGTCATTTAACTAGTAGATGGTAGAAATTCCAACAAGCTCTTTCCTTTAACAATTAAACATTTATTCTCAAAATTTCTCTTCTATAAAAAGACAAGAATAGAACCCCACATATTTTCCCACTTATTTGCATTTGTGAACTGCTTTCAGTGACAGGAATTAGAAAATCTGAATCAAGGTGATGATTTTTTAACCTGTCTTCTCACCTAAAGTTAATCTTTAACTTGTACAGAGTCCATATCATGGTGTGTATGTTGGGGGGAGATGCTTGGTGATGATACATCAGGGAAATACTTTTTTGTGCCTACTTCTGCAAACAATCAAACTAAAAAATAGTAGCTTGAACCAATGTTAATGTAAGTTGGTAACTCATTTGGTTTTCAGCCTTTTTTTATTTGGTAAAGTAAGAAAAAGTGGCTCTAAATTGGACTCCTACTTCTTAATAAAGAGCCTATGAATGATACCTGAACTTTTCCCTTGTGAACATCCCTCCTATATAAAACCTTCATCATTACTTGAATTGACAGCTGTCAATGTTCATGATACACAATGTGTAATTTTCATAAATTACTATTTTTTCTACTTTATTTTTAATAAATATTTACTGAATGCATCCTATGGTAAAACATAATTCCAGCCATTGAAGGGACTTACTGTTATGATTATTACTGTAAATGTTATGCTTAATTGTTACTAAGATTTTTGAAACATGCTAACAGTATGATAAGAAGGTTCTGAGGCGCGGGGCGGTGCTTG